TCTGTGATACGAGAGAATATATTTGTTACACTATATATATATATATATATATATATATATATATATATTCTCCACATGTATCTTCCTTTTAGTAAAATATTATTTAAGTCCCAATTAGATATTAAATGTGAGCACCTTTTCAAATAGAAATTTTAACATTGTTTTGCCATGTTGTGAGGAATTAGCATTAAAATGTATAATTTAATTTATTAATTTAACATCACTAGAAAATATTTTCAATTAAATATATATACATATATATTAATACTAAACTATATAAAAATAAAAATACTTTTAATTTACTAAGTTATCATTTACTCGATAAAGATTCTTTAAATATATAATTAGATTTAAAATAAATTAAAAAATTATAAAATAATATACTAGTTATGTGTGTTTTTTATTGAACATGTAAATGGGCATAAACATGTGTATACACAAAACAACATATAAATTAGGGAGAACATAAATAGATATACTCATCCAAAAGTCCTAATAACCAAAAGTTTAAAGGAGTTTAAAGGAATTCCTTTATCGGATCACAACTTCGTGTGTGTGTGTAAAGGTTATATGACCTATGTTTTTCATCAAACATATATATGGGTACAAACACATGTATACACAAAGCCCAAAAGTAAGGCAAGACTAGACCTTAAAAATAATGACCTAAATAGAATCAGACCATTTTGGTCTGACCTATTAAGCTTAATAGGCCAAATGGCCTCAAGTCAGTTACGAGCCGACTCGTTAAATTAATAATTGAAATAGTTTAAATTAAGATAAATTTATAATGTGTTGTAAAACAACCCGAGCCCCACGCCCCCTTCCCGGACCAGGTCCTGGAGAACGTCCTGGAAAACGTGCTCCACTTCCTGACCTCGCGGCGAGACCGGAACTGCTACGCCCTCTCCCCCAACCGTGCGACCTCGCGTTTCACTCGCGTCAAGTCCCTCACCCTCAAGGGCAAACCCCGCTTCGCTGAAGCCTCCTTCTTCGGAATCTCGGAGGCCGGTGGCGATTTGGCGTTGTGGAGCGGAGGCTTGGAGTCTTCTAGGGTTTCGGTGGCCATGGATGGGGGAGGGGGGACCAGAGAATTGGGATTAGAAGAGAGAGAGAAATGAAATTGGAGTTTGATGGAGGGTGAAAGTGTGTGTGGGGTGGTTTTCAAAATTTGATGCCAAATTTCACTCACTCACTTTTTCCCCCTTCTATTTTTGCTTTTCTCCCGGCAAAACTACTTGCTACTAACCTAAAAAAAAAGAAAATGGATATTAAAAAATAAAAAATAAATATTTATGAGCATTTTTATATATTTTTAATTTGTGCTTAATTTATTTAAAATAAATAAATAAATAATTTTTTAAAATTTAATTTAAATCAAACATGTTATTATTGAATTAGATTAAAATAAAGAAATTGTTTTAAATTTCACTTGTGTCGGATAATCATATTAATTTAGTATCAAATTTTTAATTAGTTTCATATACTATTAACATAATTAAATAATTATGTTAATAAATAAAGTTTATTTATGTTAATAAATAAAGTTTATAAATAATTAAATAATATTTATCTTAAAAATAAACATTATTTTTAAGGGTTGGATTGTTAAATTATAAAAATTAAATCATAATAAATCTAAATATTATAAAAATTATAATTCAAATCAAAAGAAATCAATAACTTAGAAAAATAAATTGACACTTCTGATTTCTTTACTTTAATTTAAAAGTTTTTTTAAATTTATTATATTATAATTAAATTATTAAATTAAAAAATTAATATTTTAAACTTTTCTAATTACACATTCATTTTTAATTAATTATATTTTGTCACTTTTTAATCAAGTGAGTGAATGATAATGAATTAACTAAAATTCTAAAATATATTTTAATTAAAAATAATTTTTTGGTAAATACGGTAACTAAAAAGTATTATAATAAATAATTAAATTAAAAAGAATAAATTTTATAATGATTATTTTTTTAATGACGTTAAATTAAATATTCTAATTATTTTATAATAAATTAAAATGAAATTATAATAAAATATGTTAAAATACAATTATTTTTAAAATTACTACCTTATATTTTTATTAATTAAATTAATATATAAATAATATTTTGAATTTAAACTTGAAAATAATGATTAATATAATTTAATTTAAATGCAAAATCGTAGTATTTCAAATTTAAAATAATAATATATTTATAATAACAATAATAATAGTTCAATTTTGAAATTTTAACAAAATTTTAAAGTTTTATGTACAACACTTTTTCTTTCGATATAAAAAAATGATATTCTCTCTAAATAACTACATAAA